CTTGGCCTCGGCCTCGCCCTCTGCCCAGCCTGCCGGTGTCCCCTCCTTCCCGCGATTTCGTTTCTTCTCACGCTCCCCCCCACCCCCTCCCGCGTCCAGCCCCGCTCTCCCCACCTTGTAAAACAAAGCCGGGGAAAATGCCTGCCCGTGCAGCTCGGAGCGCGCAGCCGGTCTCTGAATAAGAAGTGAGTACAATGGCGTGTTCGTAAAAAAAGCTTCAAGTCCGTCTTTTTCAAAAAACATTTTGAATGCTGCATGCCTCATGCTTCCCAGCGCCTCGCGGGAGAGACCCGGCTATAGAGCAGGAGGTGAGACCCTCGGGCACCCCCAAGCCCCTCCGGCCGCGCGCCCGCCTGCCCCAGCCGGTCCTGGGAGGGCTGCAGATGCCCCACTCGCGGCAAGCGGACAGTCCCCATCTTCGCTTCCCGTCCAAAGTGTTGGGTCAGAATCTGGGTTTGGAGGCAAACCCATCCTCTGATCTTCTCCCGGCCGCTTCTTCCCCCTCTCCCCGCGGTGTCAGGGGTTTTTGCATCTGTCTCGGGTGTGGGTTCGGAACACCTTAGGGGAGTTTCTGATGGAGAAGGAGGGTCAGCCCTTGGGAATAGCCGACAGGCAGGACTCATGGTGACCCTGGTCACACTTGTTGCCCACTGCGTGGTGGGACAGGCAGTGGTGCTGAAAAATCTTGTTTCTCCTGCTATTTGGTGGTCAGTCGCGGCCTGAGCAGAGACATATCTGGCCGAGAACCTGAGACCAGGATTAAGACGACGGTTGCCGGCGAAGGGCTGGGGGAGGGGAGTGGGTAGTGGAGGTGCTGAGGGTGCATGGAAGGGGGGGCTTCTCTCCTGCTCAGACATCAGACAGCCAGCGTGGAGATGGAAGCCCAGAGGTTCCCCATGTTAGACAGAGAAAACGCTGTTTTGCAACAACAACAACAAAAATTGGTATTTCATCAGTTTCTGCCCATTCCGTCTGCCAAATATTCATTATGTATAGTCTTTTTAATTAAAAAATAAAGCAATAGCTTAAAAGAATTAAACTCCTTCAGGAATGGCATTAGCTTCACACACACACACACACACACACATAGAATCTTAAAAGAAAAAACACAAACTGTCTCCTTTCCCCCCAAAGCATGCGATGACTAACGCCGTGGTGGGATTTTTGATTGGTAGCATCAAGGTAAACATTCTTGGTGTTTTCCAGTTGTACAGACTAGAAGCCACTGATGTGAAAAATCACAGATGTGAGAGCACGGAGACCTGGAGAGATTATGTGGAGCTGCTATGTGATTTGTTTTCGATTTTTTATTCCAAAGATGGCTAAATTTTAAATTATGACTTTTATTTTTCACTCAGACTGCCTAAGCAGATGGGGGTGGTGGTGAGTCTGCAGATGACATGATTTTAGCTATAATCAGTACTTCTATTACAAAAGTTTTTTTTATTAAATTAAAATATTAAACACATGCCCAGTTGTTTATTTTGAATGAATTTGTCTTTACAAATATTTTAAAGGTGTCTACTGGTTTGTGGCTTTCTTCAGAACAGGTGACTGTATCAGGAGAGAAATGTCTGCAGACCTGTGTGTAGCAGGGGGAACCTTAGGATTGCTGTAATGAGCTACACCTATGTGGAATCTCCACTTGGAGCCAGGGGCACAACGACCTCATCACAGCTCTAATTTCATCTCTTTAAAGTTAGAACCATTCTGAGCTTTGCTGGTTGAGAAGCCTCTGTCATCTGCCATCATTTTACAAAACTACTTAAGTCTAGAGTTTCAAATAATCTTTGTTTGCCAAGCTTCTGTCCATGGGCAACTGAAGATGTATTTTATGAATTCAAACTGTGGTAGCTTACATTTAACTCATAGTGTTAGGCAAGAGGGCAGGGTGAGTAGGCATGTGAAAACTGACATTTTTTATTAGTTGACTTATCCTCCAGTAATTTCAGGTACCTATGGTGTATTTGGTGCCATTCCACGGAGATTTCTTATAGACTTCTCTAAAAGTGTGTTTTAGATTGGATTATCATTTTAGGAAAGCTATATTATATTCAGGACAGCAATTTTACATAATTCTATAGCAATTATGGACTTTAAATTGATTATTCTATTTGAGTTGGTGTTTTTTTAAAGTGCCTTTTTTTTTTCCGGCCATTCTATTAACCCCTTTAGTTCAATATTGCCTTTCCAATCAATGTACTACAGTAGCTGGATTGTTTTCCTCTTAGAAGTAGAAGATTAATATCTATTTTCTAAAAAGAAATCCATTAATGAGATTTTTGAACAGCTGAGATAAATAATAAATGGATTTAGAGTCACCTCTGAGCATGTGTGGATTGTAAGAGAACCATATAAATCCACCTTAATGGAGCAATTAGCTCTGAGCAGAGCACATAGGGGCCAAGGTGTGAGCCAAGGTTTTAATTTTCTTTTTTCTTGATACTGTTCACTGTTGAAAAGGAAGAAACTTGGTCTCTTCTTGGCTGTCCCTAGGATTGTGCCACCATGGTTAGTAAGAGCTTTTTATTTTCAAACATGTCGGAGATGGAGTAACAACATACAGATTGCTTCCTTGTGAGCCCACTGCAGGGGGTAGGCTAAAACAAAAATGACCAGACAGCTGAGTGGTTTATTTACCACCATGATTTACCAGAAAATTAGGAACGATTTCTTTTGAGCGACGATGTTTGGATCACAAACTCTCTTACAATACAATCCTTTTATTCCAATAAATTTTAAAACAAAGATAGAGTGTGTTCTTCATATTAATGTCTTATAGTACAAAGTTCTTGAGAACAGGGGTAGACCATGAATGAGCCTCTTTCTGAGTGTTCAGGTATCTAGTTTAGTACCATCAACTCCTGGGATTTCAGAACATCTTTGTGTGGGGAGCATAATGGACAGACATAAATTTAGAAATTCATTAGGAAGCCCTCAGGCGTTCTTTTTTTAAGTTTCTTCATCTGACACCTATTTTTGTTTCTCTCCCATTTGGAACTCCAATAGCAGCAGAGAGCAAAGACCCAGCCCCTTTTTCTTGGACCCTATATATATCAGGACCCACCTGAGTCCTGAAAGCACTCCCGGTTTGGTTCCAGAGCTTTCTTCCACCGGGAGACCAAGTGGAGTTGAGTCAACCTTTGCTGACCCCTTAAAGAAGCAGCCCGTCCAGTTCCCCTCTAATCTCCTCCGACCTAACCCTCGTTCTCTGTTGTTGTCAGTGGCGGCACCTGACTTGCTGGACCCTAAATCTGCCGCTCAGAACTCCAAACCGAGGCTCTCGTTTTCCACGAAACCCACAGTGCTTGCTTCCCGGGTGGAGAGTGACACGACTATTAATGTTATGAAATGGAAGACGGTCTCCACGATTTTCCTGGTGGTTGTCCTCTATCTCATCATCGGAGCCACTGTGTTCAAAGCATTGGAGCAGCCTCATGAGATTTCACAGAGGACCACCATTGTGATCCAGAAGCAAACATTCATATCCCAGCACTCCTGTGTCAATTCCACGGAGCTGGACGAACTCATCCAGGTAACGAATGGCATGAGAGGAGTTGTTACTCCATGTCCCCTAAAGGGAAAGCAGGACTAAGCTAGGAGGAGATGACCCATCACCCAGGGCAGTGCTGCGGGGCTGCCAGGCACCCTGGCCCGCTTCAGGCTGATTAGCATATCCCCCTTTCCCCCAGGTCTTCCTCCCCTGTCTGATTTCCCCCTTCTTTTCTCACATCTGCCTTATTTTCTTCTCTTTTTCTTTTACTTCTGCCTCCCACTGTTCCTTTCTGCTGAGTTTCTTTCTTCTTGTCTTCCTTGTGCTCTGTCTTAGAACTGCCAGTGGACACCCATGAACTTGGGGCCACCATGCTGGAAGCTTTCCTGATTAGAATGGTCATTGCCGACTGAGAATCTCAGCTCTGGCAAACAAGAGGAAAATGAAAGACAGAAAAGTGCTTTGATCTTGGCAGTGGCCATCACAGAAGAGAAAAGTTAAATTTAGGATGTGACCCTCTTGCTATGCTTGCCCTTCACAGTTATCAAACTGTAGCTCACATCACATCTTTAATCTAACCAAGGCGTAATGTTGATAACTACCTTTTTTTAAGGGTCTTGGGAGAAGTAATTATTTATTGCTTCTCTAACACCCATTTAAAAACAATTTACTACTATGCAGAAAAATAGGTTTTATGAATAAAACTAATTTAAATGTACTCTATAATAGCAGAACAGTATTCTTACAGAAAAAACACTTTTCAAAAATTAATCCCAAAGTAACTTCTGAGTTGCAGTGAGGGTTTTTGGAGATGGCTACATTTTTATTGTAGATTCTTTTTTCCCCCATAAAACAGTCCATTGATCAATCCAAGAATCTCAGACAAAAAATAAAAGCCCTAGAATTTTGTTACAAGGAGAGACTCGACTGGTTGTTAAAAAAGTTTTAATTGTATACACATTTGTTTTTCATACAGCCTACTTTTGCAGTTTTGGCCAGGGCTGGGCTTGAACCTGCCACCCCAGGTATATGGGGCTGGTGCCCGACTCCTTGAGCCACAAGCGCCGCCCGAGCCTACTTTTCTTACCTGGTTTAATTCATATTGGACTGAAAATTTGTCTCTCTTTAGCTCTTTTATATTCAAATTTTACACCATTTGAATGAATGGGATTAGTATATTGAGAGAAGAAATTCATTGGTTTTAATCTTGTGTTTTGCTCTAAGACCTTTACTCTCATTTATTATTATTATTATTTTTTTGCCTTGATGGATCCCCAAATTCTCCCTCCATCCTTCATTGCCCTCTCTGTTTATTGTACACTCACCAGTCCTCTTCAAGTTTTATCGAAAACTATCAAAGCTAATATTCTCTGGCACCTATGTAGTTCTTATCACATTCAGACTTTTCTTCATCTGACACATTTGATTTAAATTTTGGCTTAAATTTTGATACTACTGTTCACTCATATGCTGAATTCTCTATGAGTTTAGATGATGGTGACATATTTAGTACTGGCAGTGAAACTGTTGACATTATTGTTCCTCTTAGTCCTCTGTCAGATCACTTTCATTTCACTCTCTGTGCCACATAATCTTATAAGGCACTAAAAATCTTTGAAGCATCCCTACTTCCCTTGGGTTTTAGAAGAGTTCTTGGTTGTCTTGGGGGGGAGGCAAGCTGGAGTAGTGGTAAAACCTCAAACTTGGGGATCAGATAAGATGTGTTTTAAACTCCAGGGGAGTGCTGTATTAGAAATGTTGTCTTGAACAAGTAATTTTTCCTCTCTAAGCCTTAAATGATCTGTTTGGAATGAGGAAAGAGTACCGATCAAGTAGGATTGTTCTGAGAGTAAGGAGATATTTCATCTAAGCCATTCAGGTGAAAGTATTCAAAAGTATTAGGTTTGTTTACTGTTGTTTCACCACCACCACCCTCTCTTTTTTCCCTTTATTGGGTTGTGGCTTTTAATTCAAGTAGCTGCATTGTTATCACCTTGAGTGAGATGATTGGTCTGGGCAAGAAAAATAAATGGCTAGAAGTTCAGGACAATGCTAGGGGAAACCCCGTGTGAATTTGAAAATGGCCTCACTGTCCAGTATTACCCAGATTTCTCAGGACTCTAAAAATAAGCTGGAAGGTCACGGCAGGTAGGGGCAACATGGGAGTGAATACTGATCATTTTTTTGCTACCTTGTTTTTGGAATGGGCACAAACATAGCCCAGAATAAGACCTATTTTTTTTTCTTTCTGCTCTGCCTGGGCAATTCATTAATATTCTTCATTAGTATTCACTGTTGATTGAGTATTTCTGCTTCTTAAAAATTCTTTTTTGTGTTGATTCAGTATTTTTTAGTGCAGAAGTTGCCTATTATTTCTTGTCCTGTCACTCACCTTTATATCTCCTCCTGGAATACAGTTTTTTTTTGGATAAAAGAAATCTTTATAATGTTACGGTTTCAAGGATCAAGATCAATGTATAATAGGGAGGAAGGTAAACACACTAGTAATCATTTATTTGAATTACATTTCCTTTACAAGATTCTCAGAAACGTCCAAGTGTGCTCGTCACGTATTTAGTGTTCAGGTGCATTAGTCAGTTACAGCACATCATTAAAGATTAGGAACCGAGACACAGGAAGTCCAGGTGATTCGCCTCTCTTGCACGGTTACGATGAGAGTTCAGGTCTTTAGACTGTTGGCCTGGCATTATTCCTAGGAGTCTGTTCTTTCAGGGTTTACCTTCTTTTAGTGCTGAAGAGGTAAATTGCAGGAGTGTTGAGCAGTGCAATTCTAGGGTTGGTGGTGAAGAAATTGTCTTTCCTTAAGGGAGAGTAGAAAAGGAGAAAGTGAATGGTCAGAGGACAGGCCAGCATCAGGTGCAGTTAGTATAATCTGGTCCCAGATCCCAGGTCATTAATTACGCCTCTGGGTGGATTATGTAACCTGATTCCATGTTGTGGTGTGTCACAGGGTGGAGTGGAGGATCTAAGGGGAGAAACAGGGAATGGAGCCTTTAAGCACATGAGAACGCCTGCTTTGTTTTTGAGACCAGCCCTCAAGAAGACATTAAGGAGGGGCAGAGATATCAAAACAGAGATAAGCTTGCTGGGCTGAGGGGTTTTGAACTGTGGGATTGTGAGCTCCCGTCACATTTAAATTAAAGTGATGTCAGTACAGAAACATGCATAGAAACATTTTTTACGTTTTAAGAGGCATTAATAACAGCCAAAGGGTCATTAGTAATAGTCACAATTTAATGAGCACTTACTATTTGCAAGGCACTTCTGACCCTTTGTGTGTATTAACTTACTTAATTGTCTTGAACAGCCCTATGATTATTATCTGCATTTAACTTAATGTGTGAAGTGAGGCAAAGGCACCTTCATTTTCCAAGAGTGTGTGGTGGTAGAGCTGTTGTTCACACTCAGGGGGGTAGAGCTAGAGCTTATACTTTAGCTCCTGAGCGCCGTACTACACAGTCAGGCCTAGTTACAGTGTAAGTCCTTACAGATTAGAGCTGGAGGTGTTACCAATTTCCAAACATCCGTATGTCTTGGGGGCACGGAAGAAGAAATTAGAGTTGGGAGACACATAAGAAGAAGTAAAAGGAAAACTGGAGTTCAGGGTGCTTCTGACTGCCCTAGGGGAGGGAGAGGGAACGAGTGGGCCTTTGAGGTAGAAAGGACGTGGTGTGCTCCCACACCTGAGTGTGTGACTGTGAGCAGGTCTAACAGACTGGGTGGGCCTGTTCCTCCACACCGGGGAGGCAGGCTTTGTTCTAGGCTTATTCTAGTCCAGCTGGAGTACTGGTGGGTACTTGGCTGTGCCTCAGAGGGTACTTGGAGCCACAGGATAAATAAATCAACATGGCCTTCCTAGAATACCAGTGATCCTAGCCTTAACAAACCCTGCAAATGCTAATTTATCTTAATTCCATAATCATTGATTCACAAATTATTTATGGAATGTTTGCCATGTACGTTGTCCTAAGTCTTGAAATACTAGGAAGAATAAAATGGATGCCAATTCATCAGTGAGTTTACCTTTACAAGGGGAAGGTGTTATGTTAGATAGTGACACATTTTAGGGGGGAAAAGAAAGCATCATGGAGCATAGGAAATGTGGGTTATTAATTTCAGATACGTTCCCTAGGGAAACTTCACTGATAAGGCAACTTAAATAAAAGGAGTGAGGGCACAAACCAAGTGGCAGTCTGGGGAATGACACTTAAGCAGAATGCTGAGCACACACAAAGGTCCTGGCCAGGTGAGAGTTCCTGGCGTGTAGAGGGATTGCGAGGATGCTGGGAGGGCCATGTAGAAGATGATGTCAGGCAGACGGTACGGGGCAGGCCATGCAGGGTCTAGTGAGTTATAAGGAGTTTGGCTTTCTGGTGCAGGAAATTATCCAGCTCCCACCTACATTTTGACAGGATCTCTCTGGCTGTGGTATTGAGAATAGTCTGTTCAAAGCCATGGCCAGAAGCAGGGGAACTAGGTTAGGAGGCTGTTGTAATAATCCTGGTGAGAGATGAGAGGGGGCTTGAGCTGAGGGAGTAGCCAGCAGAGGGGGGCATTGGGAGATTGGCTGATACTCAAGATATATTTTGGAAGGAGAGTGGATGGGGATTGCATGTGGACCACACGTGCCGTGCAAGGGAGAGGAGTCAAGGATAACCCCAACCTTTTTGTCCTGGGGAATGAAAAGAATAGGATTCCCATTTTCCTGAGATGAGGGAGAGTAAGGAACAGTATGTTTGGGATATAATGTTAGGGGCTTAGGTTTGGACATCACATTAACTGTATCAGTTACACAGGTTTCAGTTACTGAGGAAAATTTGCCCAATCCCAAATAGCAGTGTTTACAGATCCAAATTTTATTGCAGGAAAATGATATAACATAGCAGTAGCAGCCAATAAAATTATGCATCACGGGTAGATTGCATGATGGCAAGGTGTCTGGAGAGGCCAGGGGTCAGCTCCAGTGACCACCCTAAGTCTATACCAGGACATTCTTCTCTCTTGGATCAAGACCCACCACT